TAATAAATCGTTTATTAAGCGGTTCTTGTGTTTTTATTTTAAAAAAATCATTTACAGACGACTATGTTGCCCAGGCTGGAGTGCAGTGACTACTCAGGCATGATCGTTGCACATTACAGGCTTCGCTTTCTGGACTCAAGAACTTTTCCTGCCTCTGCCTAAACAGTAGCTGGGATTGCAGGTGCGCAGCACCCTGCCCAGCCTGATCTTTATGTTTCTGTCAAGATTTTGTGACGCCCTTTTGAAGAACCATGCTACTTTTTTTTTTTTTTTTTGAGACAGTCTCACATTGTTGCCCAGGCTCCAGTGTAGTAGTTCCATCTCAGCTCACTGCAAGTTCCACCTCGCGGGTTCATGCCATTCTCCTGCCTCAGCCTCCCGAGTAGCTGGGATTACAGGCACCCACCACTATGCCTGGCTAATTTTTTTTTCTTCTTTGTATTTTTAGTAGAGCCAGGATGGTCTAGATCTCCTGACCTTGTGATCCGCCCGCCTCGGCCTCCCAAAGTGCTGGGATTACAGGCATGAGCCACCGCGCCCGGCACCATGTTTGTATTTTTAGTAGAGCCAGGATGGTCTAGATCTCCTGTGATCCACCCGCCTCGGCCTCCCAAAGTGCTGGGATTACAGGCATGAGCCACCGCGCCCGGCACCATGCTACCTTTTGCATCCTATATTCCTTCTGGGTTGTTGTCCCTGGATTTTGTGCTTAGTACTGGACAGTACTTTTTTTGCTCTAATGGGTAATTGTTGGATGACCATTCTGTAACATCATGATAGATACTAGCTAAAACATCAACTTGTAAATTATATATGTCTCTGTCTTTCCTCCTGCCTTTTGCTTAGGAGCGAGCAGTAATTAGAATATTGTTTTGTAAAAGTTGTGACTAAATCACGTATTTATTCCTGAAATCCTTCTTTAAAATGACGGTTCAGCTCATAACTGTGAAGAAATTTATACTATTAACTGCGGTTTTGTGGGTGGGGGAGAGGAGGCTATATGATTTCCTAAAAGATTATACTTTTCTCATTATACATTTAAGTGGGGTTTTTTTTTTTTGTTTTTTTTTTTTTTTGTTTGTTTTTTTTTTGGAATAGAGTTTTGCTGTTGTTGACCAGGCTAGAGTGCAGTGGCGCGATCTTGGCTCACGGCAACCTCCACCTCCCGGGTTCAGGTGATTTCCTGCCTCAGCCTCCCAAGTAGCTGGCATTAGAGGAGCCCGCTACCACACCCAGCTAATTTTTTTGTATTTTTTTTTTAGTAGAGATGGGGTTTCATCATGCTGGCCAGGCTGGTCTCGAACTCATGACTTCAGGTGATCCACCCGTCTCAGCCTCCCAAAGTGCCGGGATTAAAGAAGTGAGCCACTGCGCCTGGCCATAAACGATTGTTAATAATGTTAATTCACCCTTTATCTGGAGTAACATAGTAGAAGGTAAACGCAGCAATGAACCAAGAAGCTACCAGCGAGTATTCTTGAAGTTTCTCACTTTCCCAAGGCACAGACCCCGAACCCCAACCTCCCACAAGGGACTACTGTCAGCAGCAGCATAATCTATGGTTCGCAGAATAGACTAATCCAGAGTTGTGGCCTGGCCTGCCTGATCCTTGCGAGACACTGACCGAGGCTGAAACCACAGAAGGTAGAATTTTCACTAGCTTTAAGGGAGGGTCCCCCACTTCAGACCCGAGGAGGCGGGAAGGAAGCAGCCTGCGTCCCACGCCAGGATCCACAGCACCCGCGCTCCTCACCGATTGTGTCCACGCGGTGAGTGAGGAGCAGAGTCCGAGAGCCGCACCGAGCTGCGGCGGTGGCTGCCTCAGTCCCGGCATGTCCTCCACCAATGACTATCACGTCGAAATGCGGAGTCCGGGGCGCCGCGCTGTCACTGCTCAACCGTACCAATGGAAACTGCTGCTTGGTGAAGGAAGCCGCGACCCAACGGCCACAGCCTCGTAAGTAGAACATGCTAGGAGAAAATCTATCTGACTTTGAAGCTGACACGAGTGACGGTCAAAAAACCTTACGCAACACGAGAAAATCTGCAGGGCGCGGCCATCTTGCTTTAATGTCACTGCGTAAGACGTCTACGTCCAGCGTCGCCGGTGATTGGCGGTTCGGAGTTACTTTCCTGGCGAGGGAGATAGGTGATCGCACGGATCCCCGGTTGTGTGTTTTCTTTCCTAGTTCGTGCGGGCTTTTTGATTTCCTGTGGTTCTGGGTTGGGAGCTCCTACTAAAGGTCGTCTTTTGTCCTTTCTCAGACCCTGTGGTCCTTATCGCCAGGTGGTCACCTACGATCAATGAATTTGATCACTTTGCCTTATCAGATCTTTGTGATCTGGCAATCTGATACAATGTCACCTTCTGTTTGTCTATAAAAACTAAGGGCTGAAAATAAGAATAGATTCGGGCTGGGCGCGGTGGCTCACGCCAGTATTCCCGGCACTCTGGGAGGCTGAAGCAGATGGATCACGAGGTCAGGAGATGGAGACCATGCTGGCCAACGTGGTGAAACCCCATCTCTACTTAAAGAAAAAAAAAATTAGCCGGGTTTGGTGGCCTGTGCCTGTAATCCCAGCTACTCAAGAGGCTGAGGCAGGAGAATGGCTTGAACCTGGGAGGCTGAGGTTGCAGTGAGCCAAGATTGCACCACTGCACTGCAGTCTGGGAGACAGAGTGAGACTCCTTCTCAGAAAGAAAAGAAAAGAAAAGAAAAAGAATAGATTCGAAAGGAGTTCAAATACATTTGTGGACCAAAGATTCATGATGGTGCCCAGGTGCTGTGGCTCACACCTGTGATCCTAGCACTTTGGGAGGCCGAGGGGGGCACATTGCCCGAGCTCAGGAGTTTGAGACCAACCTGGGCAACACAGTGAAACCCCATCTCTACTAAAATACAAAAAAAAAAAAAAAAAAGAATTAGCCAGGTGTGGCAGCATGCGCCTGTAGTCCCAGCTACTCGGGAGGCTGAGGCAGGAGAATTGCTTGAACCCCTAGGCAGAGGTTGGAGTGAGCCGAGATTGTGCCACTGCACTCCAGCCTGGCAAGGGAGACTCCATCTCAAAAAAAAAAAAAAAAAGAGAGAGATTAATGATGGCTAATTAGAAGAATTGGTCAGTTGGAGGTTAAATGTCCAGCCTTTCTCGATTCACAGCCTTTCTCAGAAAGGAAACATTTGACTGATCGGAGAATAAAACAAGTGTGGTATTGCGGGATCTGGCCAGCAGCCTGTAATGCAATGGGGCTCTCTCTTCGTTCCCAGTCGGATCAGCAGGTTGAAAAATAATAGACACACACAAGATAGTGAAAGCTGGGTCCAGGGGGGTCACCACCTTCTGATCCCATGATGCCGCCAATGAACTGGATATACCAGCATTTATTATTAAGTTTAGTGAGGGCGGGAGTAGGTTAGTGAGGGATTTAGGGTCCTTTGATTATGAGGTGAGAGGGTCACATGGGGATGAAGTAATTCTTTAATGTAACATCTGTATGCAGAAGTACAGTATACAGAGATAAGAATTTACAATATAGTGTGTGCATCAGTAATTTCTAACAGAGCCTTAAAACAGAAAGTCTTTCCATAACCTATGATTAGCAAGATATTAATCAGCAGTAACAGTTGCAGCTAAAGCTGGTTACAAACAATCCATAAAAACAGGACGTGAAGCTAGACAACCTGTTAGACCAGAAATTCTCAGAAGGGAGTATGCCTTAACCCCAAAGAGGCCTAGAAGAGCTGTGGCAAGATGAGGGTGTTTATAGCCTATCTTATCCATATGAACAGATGCCCCTCATGCATCCGTTTATAGGCTCTCCACAAGGGTCACATTCCATTCCCAGAGCTATGAACATCTGTTTTTCTGGGATAGGAATCTTGGTGATGTGAAACCTCCCTGACTGCACATCATTCATAGGCTCTCTGCAGGGGGAGGTACATCACCCACTGTTGGCTCATTCTGGCAGTCCAACCTGGCATTTTCTTTACACAATCCTGCATGCAACTTTGTATTTATAATAATCAGGAGCATTTCATCTTTTATTCCATAGCAATAGTTTCAGGGGGTCTCCCTACAGTGTGGCAGTTTTACTGTTCTAATTATAAAAAGTATCAAACACATAGGCCAGGAGTGGTGGCTCACGCCTGTAATCCCAACACTTTGGGAGGCCAAGGTGGCGGATCACTTGAGGCCACGAGTTTGAGACCAGCCTGGCCAATATGGCGAAACCCTCTCTCTACTAAAAATAGAAAAATTAACCTGGCATGGTGGTGTGTCTCTGTAGTCCCAGCTACTCAGGAGGCCAAGGCAGGAGAATCACTTGAACCCAGGAGGCAGAAGTTGCAGTGAGCCCAGATGGTGCCACTGCACTCAAGCCTGGGTGACTGAGCGAGACCCTGTCTCAAAAAACCAAACCAAAACAAAACAAAAACCCACAAAACAAAAAACAGTAAACATTATTTCTTTTCTTTATTATTATTTTTTTCGTAATAGGATCTCCTTCTGTTGCCCAGGCTGGAGTGCCATGGCGCTATCATGGCTCACTGCAACCTCCGTGTCCTGGGCTCAAGCGATCCTCCTGCCTCCATCTCCCAAATAGCTGGGACTACAGATATGGGTGGACACAAGGCCTGGCTAATTTGCTTTCTTTGTTATTTTTTGTTTGTTTGTAGACATGGGGTTGGCGGAGGGGGTGTCTCACTATGTTGCCCATGTTGGTCTTGAACTCCTGGCCTCCAGCAATCCTCCCAAAGTGCTGGGATTACAGGTGTGAGCCCCGCTCCCAGCCTATTTTTGATACTTTTTTCTTTAAAATTTTTTTTCCACTTTCTGCAACTTCAGTTACATATTTTTTAATAAAAATTAGATCATAGCATATGCATTGTTTTGTAATCTATTCTTAATAATCATGAATATTTTTCTATCCAAAAAAATAATAATAATCACTTAAGACATAAGGAAACTCTAGATGATACCTTAGGGATGAGGGAAAGTACCCAAAGATTAAAGTGGGAAGGCGTTCATATCTCAAGTATAGAAAGCCTTTAGAGAGCATGGGCAGTGCAAAGTGGGGGGTTCACGGAGGAAGCAGCAGCTCTGTATAGACCTCCTGGGCCACAGGTGGGCTTCACAGAGGGGCTTGCAAAAGGATCAACTTCTGGGGTATGATTCTCTGGCCCACAGGCAGCTATATGCAGGCAAGGTGGGAATTTTAGTTTCTCTGTCTAGAAGGCAGTGGACAGGTTATAAACAGGTCAAGGCTACAAAGTCACAGGGAGATCACTTTCTGGGTTGTGACTGAGGTAGGCTCTACGAGATGTTCTCATACCCAAGGCTGACTAGAGACAAACATGAGGTATACAGAATAAGACGTAATCCCAGCATTTGGGGAAGCCAAGGTGGGCATATCACTTGAGGCCAGGAGTTCGAGACCAGCCTGGGCAGCATGGTGAAACCTCATATCTACTAAAAATACAAAAATTAGCCAGGGTGGTGGCGCGCACCTGTAATCCCAGCTACTTGGGAGGCTGAGGTATGAATTGCTGCAATGAGCTGACATTGCACTGCTGCATTCCAGCTTGGGTGGCAGAGTGAGATGCTGTCTCAAGAAAAAAAAAAAAAAAAAGAAGAAGTGGTAAAGTCAACTAGATAAAATATATACCCACAAACAAATTTTCTGGGGTTTCCTACTAGATAAAATCCAAGTTCCACATCAAGACTCAACTAAACAGTCATTTTCTCTGTGATTTGGACACTGATTGCTGCAGCAAGTTTGAATAAAGAGTGAGTTCTCTTCCTTTGGTAGGCCAATAGTAGAGATATTTGATCTGGCCCAGTGGATTGTTGCTTGTGTGCTTTTGGTTAAAGAAACCACCAGTGACTTAAGGGGACTTTAGAAACTGATGGAAGACAGCATTTATTTTTATGTATTTGTTTTATTTTATTTTATTTTTGAGACAGAATCTTGCTCTGTTGCCCAGGTTACAGTGCAATGGTGCCATCTTGGCTCACCGCAACCTCCACCTCCCAGGTTCAATCAATTCTCCTGCCTTAGCCTCCTGAGTAGCTGGGATTACAGCCGCCTGCCACCACACCCATCTAATTTTTGTATTTTTAGTAGAGACAGGTTTCACCATCTTGACCAGCCTGGTCTCAAACTCCGACCTCGAGATCTGCCCGCCTCAGCCTCCCAAAGTGCTGGGATTATAGGAGTGAGCCACTGCACCTGGCCCGGAAGAGAGCATTAAACTAACTGTAGAGTCAATTACAGGATTTCATGACAAGCAGCTGGAGTCCCTGGAGAAAACAAATAGAACCATAGAGCAGAGGCCTTCAGAATGTGGTAGTTACCCCCGAACATCCTGGAAGACTATCCAGATGCACTTGCACTTTCTTTTTTTTCCTCTCTCTCTCTGTTTTTTTTTTTTTTTTTGGCAATGGAGTCTCACTCTGTCGTCTAGGCTGGAGTGCAGTGGCACTATCTCGGCTCACTGCAACCTCTGCCTCCCAGGTTCGAGCGATTCTCCTGCCTCAGCCTCCCGAGTAGCTGAGATTACAGGCATGCACCACCATACCTGGCTAATTTTTGTGTTTTTCATAGAGATGGTTTCATCATGTTGACCAGGCTGGTCTTGAACTCCTGAGCTCAGGTGATCTGCCTGCCTGGATCGGCCAAACTGTTGAGATTGCAGGCGTGAGCCACCACACCTGGACAGCTCTTGCAGTTTCAAGGATATGGATTTCCACATTTCAGCTTCCATTTTACTCTTCCCTGAAACTAGTTGGCTTGGGAACAAGTTTGACTATGCAATGGTCCTCCTATTTCTCCTTCTATATTTCACAAGAGAAAAATATACCTTTCTGGCATCCTAATTCAAACTACGGCTCATTGCTCCAGGGTGGTAAAAATCTCTTTGAACTTAAGAGAAGGATATATAAACATATTTGTTTCAGGGAAAACTTTTTAAAAAGTAAGGCATTTTTGTCCATTGACAGGTGAATGGATAAACAAAATGTGACATATACACACAAAGCAATATTTTTCAGCCCAAAAACAGAAGGAAATTCTCGCAACATGGATGAACATTGGCTA